TGTGTTCTTTGGTCTTCCTCTTTTCCTCTTCCCTTCAGGATTCCAAGTTAAGACTTGCCTCATGATGCAGTTTGACGATTTGCGTAATGTATGTCCTATCCATTTCCATCGTCTTTTCCTAATTTCCTCTTCAGCTGGAAGTTGGTTTGTTCTCTCCCACACAAGGCTATTGCTGATGGTATCCGGCCAATGGATGTTGAGTATCTTGCATAGACAGCTATTTATGAATACTTGTACCTTCTTGATGGTGGTTGTTGTAGCTCTATAATTTTCAGCTCCGTACAGTAGAACTGACTGTCTTGACGTTCGTATTGAAGATTCTCACTTTGATATTGGTTGAGAATTGTTTTGAGTGCCATATGTTTTTCATTTGTAGGAATGCGACCCTTGCTTCACCGATCCTCGCCTTTACATCTGCATCTGAACCTGCTTGTTCATCGATGATGCCTCCCAGGTATATGAAGGATTCTACATCTTCCAGAGTTTCGCCATCAAGAGTGACTGGACTGCTGTTTTCCGCTTTGAATTTGAGGACCTTGGTTTTCCCTTTGTGTATGCTGAGGCCTATTGATGCAGAGACTGCTGCTACACCGGCTGTCTTTATCTGCATTTGTTCGTGTGTATGCGATAGGAGGGCTAGGTCATCTGCGAAGTCCAAACCGTCTAATTGGTTCTGAGCTGTCCATTGTATTCCGTGTTTTCCCTCAGATGTCGAGTTCTTCATAATCCAGTCGACCACCAGAAGAAAGAGGAAGGGAGAGAGTGAACAGCCTTGTTTGACTCCGGTCCTTACTTGGAATGCATCTGTCAGCTGAACTCCATGCACCACCTTGCACTGTAATCCGTCGTATGAGTTCCGGATAATATTGACAATCTTCTCAGGAACTCCGTAGTGTCGAAGAAGTTTCCATAACGTTCTCCTATCTACACAGTCGAATGCCTTTTCATAATCAATGAAGTTGATGTATAGTGACGAGTTCCACTCAACTGACTGTTCGACGATGATCCGTAGTGTTGCAATTTGGTCTGTGCACGACCGAACCTTACGGAATCCAGCTTGTTGATCTCGAAGTTGGGCGTCTACTGCATCCTTCATCCGGTTCAGCAACAATCTGTTGAAGACTTTCCTTGGTATTGACAGTAGTGTGATGCCTCTGTAGTTTTCACATTTGCTCAGATCTCCTTTCTTTGGAATCTTGATGAGGTGTCCTTCTTTCCAGTCCATCGGCACTTGTTCCTCCCCCCAAATCTTCTTCAATAAAAAGTGAAGCATGTTTGTAGTTACTTCGAAGTCTGATTTCAGTGCTTCAGCTGGTATATTGTCAGGTCACACTCTTGATTTGTCTGATGGCCATTCTGATTTCTTCCGTCGTTGGTGGATTGACATTTATAGGAAGATGTGTGTGTGCGGCTTCGATGTCCGGTGGATCCATTGGAGCCGGCCTATTCAGGAGTTCCTCGAAGTATTCTACTCATCTGTTCCACTGTTGTTGAATTTCAGTGATTGGCCTGCCTTCTTTGTCTTTGACCGGTCTCTCTGGTTTACTGTATTTCCCTGATAGTTTCTTCGTTGTATCGTAAAGCTGTTTCATATTACCTTCTCTAGCAGCTTTTTCCGCCGTCTTTGCTAGTTCTTCCACGTATTTCTACTTGTCAGCTTCAATGCTTTTCTTCCCTTGCCTGTTTTCTTCAGTGTATTCAGCCTGTGTCTCGACTTTCTTTGTTCGTGTTCGGCTGTTGTTTATTGCTGTCTTCTTGTTCTTCCTTTCTTTGATTCTGTCCAGTGTTTCTATGGAGGTCCATTCCTTATGATGGTGCTTCTTTAGACCCAGAACCTCTTGACACGTTGAAGTTAATGCTTCTTTGATACTTTTCCAGTTGTTCTCCATAGTAGTGTCTTCTTCCTTCAGTAGATCCTGTAAGGCTTGGAACCTGTTGTTGAGAGCTATCTTGAATTCATTGAGTTTGTCAGTATGTCGAAGGAAGGCAGTATCGAACCTCTGTTGAATGCACACAGATTTGCAAATCTTTCTCCATTTCCGTTTCTCTCTCCCAGTTTATGTCGTCCCATGTTATCTTCATATTCGGTGTTGTCTATCCCGACTTTGGCATTTAGATCTCCCATTAGAATGGTGAGGTCCTTTCTTGGGCATTTCTCTATCACTGACTGCAGCCGCTCGTAGAATTGATCTTTAATGTCGTCGTTGCTATCATTGGTGGGTGCATAACATTGGATAATATTCATTGTAATTCCCTCCTTCTTTGTTTTGAATGATGCTTTGATGATTCTGGATCCGTGAGATTCCCATCCTACAAGTGCATTTCGTGCTACTTTGGACAGCATAAGAGCGACTCCCTGAGTGTGTGGAGCATTGTCCTCTTCGTGACCGGAGTATAGCAGCATCTCTCCCGTAGCTAGCCTTTTCTGTCCAGCTTGGGTCCAGTGGGTTTCGCTGATTCCCAGTACTGCTAAGTTGTATCTCCTCATTTCCCTTGATATTTGACTGGTCTTTCCGGTTTCCCACATTGTTCGAACGTTCCATGTACCTATAAAAATTTTTGCTCTGGTTGTTAGAAGGGGCATCGGCCTCGTGACTTCCGAAGGAACTCGGCTTTCACCATGAAGCGTCATAATTCTTCTAAATGAAGACCTTCTAACTCCCAGTGCAGAGTTAAAATGGTTTGGATTATTTTTTCTGGTAAGCGTTTTTTTAGCGAGTTAGTTTTCTACGGGATGGGGACGCTAACCCCATGCCCAAGCCTCCTCCTTTACCCGGGCTTGGGACCGGCAATAACTCTAGAAGAGCTACAGCCGGAGTTGCGGGCAATAAAGCATTTCTCTTAATATTACTTATATTGTTCTCTGAAAATTATGTTTGTTCTAATATTGTTATTTTAAAAAATAATAATAATAAAATTCATGTGATCGTGATAATCTACTAATAATTCATTATATTCTTGTCTATTTCTCAATATTTTAATATTTTTAATCAGTCAGTTATTTAAATTAATTTTAAGGTTCCTAATACTTTCACTTCTGTTGACATTATTTGATCGTGTTCGCCTTTTCTTTTTTTTAAAAAAACGTCGTCTGGAAACACTAGTTACCGTGACAACGCCCTAGAACACTGCATTATATATATTCTAGGTTATTCGTAATTATTTGAAAATTAACTTCATCTTTTGATACAGTTCGATCAATAGGCTAGTTCAGGAATACTGAATGGTTGAATGATTTCATTTCATTATTTTACGTAAAAAAGAAACTTAAAAAAATTCATTGTTACAAGTAAGTATTATTTATTTTAGAATCATAAAACACAAACAAACAAAAAGTAATTATAATAAATAGCATTAGCTACTTAAAAGAAAATACGTATGTTATAAATTGTTCAATTTGACCTAAGGTAAATGAACAAAATGTATATTCCAATTAGTTTGTTTGGTTAATATTATTGATCCAGTTAAAAAGAAATGAAGTATACTAATTTGCATGTAATTATGTCAATTTCTTTCACTTATCTACTTACTTACTTACTTACTTACTTACTTACTTACTTACTTACTTACTTACTTACTTACTTATTTACTTACTTACTTACTTACTTACTTACATATGCATTTTACCCCAAGTAAATTGTGGTTCTCCAACCAACACTGTCCTGTGCTTTCTTTTCCAGTTCTTTGCAAGTGATGTTCATTCAATAGTTGAATTTATAAGTCTATCTAGGCTATACCACCTTTGAAAATCTGGAAGTGCTGGATGATCGTTTCGTCCCAGTATGGGACTCCTTAGCAGTGTGCATCCACGATCCCTCATGCGGAACTCGAACCCAGGATCTTCGGTCTACTGCACGAACGTTTAACCTCTAGACCGGCATCCAACAGTGTTATTGTCTAACATCAAACAATCCATGATATGATATTCGTTCTTTTGATGTCTGCCTCCGATTCTTTGCTCAACATGTTCTTCGTTTTGTCTAGTTTCTTTTTTCTGTTTGATCAAAATGAAAAAGAGAGATTCCCAAATTTTTTATCATGAAGTGTATTCTTTCATTTCTGTTTTTATTTAGGATAATCAGCTTTAATCTACTTATCAATAATAACTCTAAAGCCATTTTTCTTGTTACTCTTCCTTTTCTATGTTACAACTATTTCTAATGAACTATCTCCACATTTAAGAACTCTTATTCTTAATCCACTATGTGAAAGCTATATTATCTTTAGAATGAATTTAATATGACTACCATACTGTATAACTCAACAAGGTTTTGTCAGATAGTTTTAAGATAAAAATTTGTGACGGTAAGACAACTATTATGTTGTAGTTTAGGACGTATTTCCAATAATCATTACTAAATACTTCCAGATTAATTATCGTCATTATCATTAATGGTGACGAACAATCACGCTTAACTGTTAAGCGTCGAAATTAGGGTTGATTTTCAAATGTTTCAAAGCTCTAAAGAAATAATATTACCAACTGTTTTATTTGTAAAAAAATATTCATTTGATGTTTGTGATAGAAAACAACTACAAATTAAATTTTAAATAGTTAAATTCATGAGTCCATCTGAACTAGACCACCTTTGAAAACCTGGAAGCACTGGACGACCGTCTCGTTCTATTATGGAACTTCTCAGCAGAGCACACTTACGATTCCGCATGTGGAACTCGAACTCAGAACCTTCGGTCTATCGCGCGAACTCTTACATTCTAGACCACTGAGTCGGCATCTAAAGGTCCCGGGTTTGAGTCCAGCATGTGGGATCAAGGATGCGCACTGCTAAGGAGTCCCATATTAGGACGAAACGATCATCCAGCGCTTCCAGATTTTCAAAGGTATAGCTTAGATAGACTCATAAATTCAACTATTAGAAACTACTTTTAACTCAACCAACCCCCATTCTGATACATATTGAGTCATTACTTTAATTTATTGAATATAAGGTACTTTGTATTTATTCGTTCATTTGCGATTTCTTTATTCTTTCATTTAGAATAATAAAGAACAAAATAATTCTGATGTCTATGATGATCCAACAGGATGGTGCATACCGAATGACAACAACAACGACAGTAATTCAAACAATAGTAAAAATAGCATTGTATGCACAAAAAAGTCTACACAATTTAATCCACTTGAAGAAAATCATCTTTCCATGAATCAAAACTCATGTTCATTATATGAAAATGTAGATTATTATACAAAGTATCCTAGTTCTGTTGGTTTGACAGATAGTGGAAATTTCTCTAGTCAGTCAAGTGATGTTTCATTCAGTATACATTCAATAAATGATGGAATAGTTGATCAGAGAATGAATCGAGAAAATTCATCTGAAGATTATGAAGTAGGTTAAATCAATAATTCTATTTGTAAATAAAAGCAGATATTGTTTCGTCCTCTGAATAATGAAAATTTTACTAACATAAAACAACATTAATTTAAATTCTGTGAAAAAACCATAATTTAACAATCATTGTAGCCATTTAGTATATTTGGTATGTGACTAAGGGTGGAATCTAGAACACCAATTTCATTCTGTCTGGGACCACCAACTGGAAGTTCCTGAATCTGTGTTGATATTCACACCAACACTCGAACGTAGAACCTTTCTCCCCGGATGCCTAACGCGTTAGCCACTGAGCCGCTGAGTTCAGGTAGCTACTAATTTGTTCAACGGGTATGAAGTTATTAGGAAGGGTTTTTAATTTTTATTTATTGATATTCAGAAATGCGGTTGACCAGTCTCTGTTACTCTAGGTGCATCCTGAACAGATTACACTGAAATAGTGTTATACTACAAGTTTTGGTACATCTAAAATATGGCTAGTAGTGGAATCCAGGGATTGAGTTCTGTCCAATTTTCTGCCCTATTGTAGCATTATCAGTTGTACTTGCATTTCCATAATTAGGATATGATAAGCGAAATTGGTTAACAGTTAGGGAAAGACTCGATATTTGCAAGAAAATAAAAATTCAACAAGTTCATCGTGTTTGTCAAGTGCATTTTACATACTGACTCCATACTATTTTTATATTTTTTTATTTTCTAAATACAAAGCTTATCAGATGAAATGTCTGAAGGCATCAGTTGCAACTTTGTACTTCTCTTGTTTGATCTCTATGGAATGAAATTTTGACTACTCCCGAGTTCGAATTTTCTTAACCTTGAAGTCATGAACTAATCTTACGTAAACCATCATTGAAAACCTAGAATCACTGAACGGCCGTCGAATGCCGGCTCATTGGTTTAAAGGTTGAGCGTTTGCTCTTGATTCGATTCCCGCATGTGAAGGTATGGATGAATATTTCTGAGGAGTTCTATAATAGAACACAAAAATGCACCCCTCCAGTGCTTCAACGTTTTTAGTGATGGTTTAGTTAAGACCAAATCGTGATTTAAAACTGAAAGTCCTACAGTCTTCACAAATCCCCCATATTGATGATTTATTTTTCACATGGTACCTTGGCTTGGATATCCAATCAGAAAGCCAGTAAGCCTTCTACATGCTATCGTCTGTGTGGTGGACTTGAATGAAGGTTAAACATAGTAACCAAGGTACCGATATGAAAGTACGTGAATCCTCATCTAAATAAGTCAAGGGTAGTAAAAACTGAATCATCCAATTGCAACGAAATCCATATTAAGTTATTCCGGTCCATTATGTTCAAATATCAAATGCCAAATACATTATGCACGTTAGTTACTAAAGTTCAGGTTATTTTAAAATTCCTCCTGAGATCTACTTATGCCTAATGAATCTGAGTAGTTAACATACACATTCAAGGATTTCATTTGAAATATAATTTATTCATAAACACTTCATTACTGAATTAATACTCAGAAGAAAAAGAAAGTTAATTACTTCCATTCTCAATCAAATCAGTTATTTAATAAATTACTACCAATGTAGTAAACGAGAACACAAGTGGGGACAATCGAATGTATTTGAATACAAAATTACAGAACATCTTAGTAAAATCTGAAAACCATATAGTAAGTCTTTCAGTTGCGAAATGTCGATCAATCGTCTAAGACTTCATTATTCTTTCGTTTACACACCAATCATTCTATGTTCTCGTTCTCTTTTCTTTGGTCTTCTTAACTTTCATTTTCGACTGATGGTACACACTACTTATATCTGTCGACATCAGTAGTACGCACTACACCATTACATTTATTCAACTAGTTAAACTGGTGATCTAAGTAAGTATGAGTAATTAAAAAGAAAAGTTGGGTTTTGTTTCTCTCCAAATAAATGTAACCATTTAAAATGTAAAATGATAAAAACAAGTGAATATGGGTTATTTGTTTTGTTTTATTACATAACTACTTTTGTGTTAAGATGCATTGTAAAATATTCAACCTCCTTTACAAGGATTTTGTTTTATTAACCAGAAATACAGAATAAATTCATCCAGTTTAAAGAAAACTTAATACTTTTAGTTTCTAATAAAGGATTTATCTTATAAAATGTTTATACTGATTATTCTTTTTATTCTGTGAATAATCAAAGTGTAAATGCAAGAAAATTAAACTGCAAATGACTGTTGAAGAGAATAGTTTCGTAATTTATTTTTCGATTGAAGTAATTGTTACTTGTACTGACTTTCAGAATTATCTATGTTGTTCGTTTAGCAATTTATGCTCATATAAAGTTGTTGTTACAAATGTTTATTCAGAAATTCGGGTTAATTGAAATTATACAATTGCGTAAAATAAAAATTGGCTTAAATTAACATCCTCGAAATTCTATTTAAATAAGTCCGATAATTATTGATCAATTTGTTCACCGCTCCAAATTTACTGAATTGTTCTCTTTTAACTGGTAACAATCTATACAAAAGCAAAGTTCACATAGAAATATGCTCACAATTACCAAGAAAGTCAATGTGTTTAACACGTAGTGAAAGATCGAAGTTGTCAGGGGAAATATTTGTCATAGTAGACAGAAAATTGATCGGTTTCAAAAGCGCTAAATGATTCTTAAGTACGATTACACGCCACACAATGTGTGAATAACAATTTATCTATTCATTTATTACAATTTATTTTGTCTTGTATTTCACGTGTATTATTTTATCAGGCATAAACAAAATTTTGCCAAGTCATTTGCTGTCTGTTTACTTGAGTTGCATAGGTTCAATATACTGGATATTGTGAGTAATCATCAAACAGTTATTTCACATGGGTTCAGATAGTCAACTCCATAAATATAGATTCAAATCATGAGTCAAGTATAAAAGTAGACTACTGATAAATTTGTATCTTGTAAGATGATGAAAACTTAATATATGTTGTTCATTTGATGGACGTACAGATTTGTTCCATACTTTGAAAACTAACAAATCTATTAATTATAACAGGTAAAATCAGTTGTCACTGGATTTTCTTAAATCTCTAGCCGTTGGCCTTCTTAGTAAATTTAACTGACCTCTTATTCTGTGCTTAGTTTGATATTATCATGTACAACACTATTCAACTTAGCTGCGAAATGCTTGGAATGAAATGTATTATTGATCTTATGTTTTTACTGCCCACATGACCGCTAGTGTAGACATCCCTCGCATATTATTCATACATTAGACATTAATCAGTAGCTAAATAAGGCCATGTGTAAATATCGATGAAATTTGTTTCATATACCAATAGGGATCTGTGGTACCATAAGCTATCATATACATCAACATAGAGAACTATAAATTCATTAAATCAAATTTTGTTTGTGTTAGGCTGTTTCTTTAAATTATAAATCATCAGGAATAAAGATTGAAGGAAAAAATAGGATAATTTGACCCTTCAATACTTGAATAATCATTCTGTTTCATATCTTGGTTGAATCTGTAGGATATAAGTAACCTTATCAGTTACAAAAACACATAGCAAATTAAATTCACTTTCTTTACTATAGAGTTTTACTGATGAAAGTAATCTGGACTAACGTAAAGACTTCAAACTTAAATACAAGTCTACAAAAAGTAAACTAATAGAATAACTCCGCTTGGTTAAAGACCCTGAATGACATGGCTCAAAATCGTTTGCAATGGCGCAGGTGCATACACTCTTTGTGTTCTCCCAAATTCTAATCTCCTGAATTCTCCTTGTCTTTTTTTTCTCTTTCCAAACTTATTTCACTGGATTATACTCTTTAAATAACATCTTCAAACCCTAATCTTTCCGATTACTGCTTATACTCTTGTTACCTCTACCACTACGGGATTTGAATCGACCACTGCATCTCTGTGCTAATGTGATATGGCAACTCGAACTGATGTATGTACGTACGAAGTTCTACGTTGCTACTGACTGACTAACTGACTGACTGAATCTAATAGAATATTCATTCATTTAAACAATAAATTTTTACTATCATATTCTAACTGATTACTTTCTCAAGGTTTTACATTATCCTGGGCATTTTGTATAACATAAAAATACTTGTTATACATAAACCAGTTAACTGAAATTAACTTTCATTGTGCTGATAAAAAAACGCTTACCTATCAATTGTTTTGTTTTTCTTTCATTTAATGCAACCGATTGTTACTAGGAGTTTATTTAGTGATTTTTTAAATCATGAACTATGACATTTATACTAAATTTAATTTTCAATAGATCATAAATATTATATTCATTCGTTTTCAAGATGAATTGAATTATGACAATTAATTATAAATGGTAAATGATTAAAATTGCATGGTTTGATTAAAATGACATTTATTCCATATGATTGTGTTTATTATATACACATTCGATTAACACTGTCAAACTAGTCAACTTTTGTATTCGTTAGACCAGTCAAAAGATAAACAAACAAGCAAACAAACAAACATGTAACTGATTCATTCAAACGAAACTGTTCAACTAATATTATAAATATTATTTTATCATATAATTTGTTTGTTTCTATATGAATAAGTCATGTTTACTATAATTAAACAGTTTCATGATTATTGAGAAATCCTACGATATCTACTAAATGTTCTGTTTTCATTTAAAACATGCTTTTTTGCTCAATAAATTTAATAAATTCAATGAAAATATTCATCATAAAATTAATGGTAGTTGAGCTTTATAAAAGAACAGTTATGTAATATTCTTTGTCTTTTTTTGGGACTAATTTGAGAAAGATACTTAGTTTATAGGGTTTGTACCCTTTTAGCTATAAATCAAGTTGATGTATGTAAACTTTTAAATATTTACAGTTACTTTCTGATAGAACTAGTTAAAGAGTTTTGGTGTTGTAAATATCGATTGGATCATTTCATGTTATGGTGAATTGTTTCGGTCAAGCATTGGACGAATTTAATTCACTTAGTTCAAATATTTCACTATTTGACAATTACTAGCGTTTAACATCGTTACTGAACATAATTTGATATGCTGTTTGTAGGTGTCAATCAACAAGTTTATTTAGTGTCACATTTTGTTTACCATAACAGTAAATGTTATTCTTAGTCAGTGATTACATATATGATCAAACTTACTTATTTATACCTGTTACTCCCAATGTAGCATAGGCCGTCGACCAACATTCTCCAACTCACTCTGTCCTAGGCCTTCCTTTCCAATTCTATCCAATTGTTGTTCATTTGTTTCATGTTTTACTCCATTTCTCGGCGTAATGTGTTCTTTGATTTTCTTCTTTTCCTTTGATCTTGAAGATTCTATGTGAAGGCTTGCCTTGTGACCAATCAAATTACTTTAACTATCTATCACTTTGACCCAGTTTTCCTATGATTTCATATATCTTTACTAAAATCTAAATTCATGAACATTACAGTTTGTTTTGTAGCATGACTGTTACTTAGAGTTTATTTATTTATTTATCGAATAATGCAATAGTACTCAGTATTTGTATATTTTGTTTATCTTTTCTAATTATATTTATTTCTAATGTTTATACGTGAATTTTAGGATTTACCACCAAGTATACCAGAAGAATTTCGTGATACAAATAATTCAATTCAATATAAATTAACTAGTACAAATTCATATAAAAATGAAACAACATTAAATAATTTACATGATACTATTCATCTCTCTAAACAATTAAACAATGAAATCTTATTTTCTTTAAATACACAATCTAAATCTACTGATAATTTAATAAATTCAGTAGATAATTTAAATGATAAAAAATTTCCGGAAAATATTGTTCCTTCATTTAAAGAAATTAATAATGATAAACAATTTAAATTATCATTAGAATTAACACCAAATATATTTAGAACAATGAAAGAATTTACAGATTATTGGTTACCAATACAAGAACGTATACATGATAAATGTTTACATTTAATAAAGCTATTACATCAACATGATACAATACATTCAACACATTTAATAACTTCATTAATTACACAATTAAATCATGAATTTATAATTATTAGTCAATTATGTACAGTTATGATTGGTCTTTCTAAACAAACAACAATAATAAATAATAATTTAATACAAAAATTTATTATATATCGTTATAATATGGAAAATTTATCTGAATTATTTATTAAATTATCAAAAAATATTAATATTATAGATTTAAATAGTCAATATCAAAAATATAATAAACAATTTATTATTACCACCCATTCGACTAATAATAATAGTAATAGTAATAATAATATTAATAGTAATAATAATAGTAATGATAATAATAATAGTGAAGAGAGTAAAGCTTTACTTGAACAAACAATTCAACAATTACTTACTGAAATCAATTTATTTTATACAACCATTTTAATAAATTCTAAACTATTATTTAATAATTTAATTAATAAATCTAGTGAATCAAATCAAGAGCATTTTTCTTTAATAAAACAACAAACAAATATGTTTAATAAATTAAGTAGATCAATTCCTTCATTTCATACATTATCTTTAAATTCATCATTACAAGTGTCAAATAATGAGCCAAAATATTTATCAAAATCATATGAATTCATTGATCATTTAACTAAATTAAATCAAAAAAATTTAGTGGGACATTTAAATTTTCAAAAATTATCACAATTTTGTTTAAATTCATTAAATATTATTGATAATTATTTAAATTATTTAATACAATTTCAAAATGATACAATATTATATTTTAAAAATTTTAAAAATAATAATATTTTTATACAATTTATAATAGAACAAACTAAATTAGTAATGGAATCATGTAGTCAATTAATACGTTATATTATGTCTATTTGTAATGAATTTAAATTATTATCATCTATCCATAATATCAATGATGATTATGATACAAATACAGTAATATTAAGAAAATTAGAATATATGAGTGATAAACTATGTGAATCATTAAAAGGTTTAATAATACTTACTAAAGAAATTGCAAAATTTCTTACAAATGAATATGAAATTATAACATCTCATAAAATAATTCCTATACCTGGTCCATTATTACAACGTTTAAATGGTGCATTGAAATCAATTCAAAATTCAATTAAAACAATTAATGAATTAATAAAGGAATAATTATCAATATTTATTTCATGTATTGACTAGAAAAGATTAGGAGTTTAAAAATCCTCATAGAATATATTCATAAATGAAGAATATTTGAATGACAAATTGTATTCAATAACTTCATCATCAGCCTCTATACAGTTATAAGTTCATAATTGTGATATTTTACAAAGGCCAAGAATAAGGCATGTATTAATGAATTTGACAGTGTTTACCTTGGCCCACGACTGGATCACCGGATACCTAAACTGAATATTATAAACATCTTACCCCCCTCTTTTTTTTTAATTACCTCTATCTTGATCTTCACATCCATCATCCTCAACTCGTTTATCATAATTACCTTGATAAAACCCCTTTTATTAAATATTATATTCACACCAACAATCTTATTATTATTATCTCAATTGACACGATGAAATTCTTCTACTATGCATTTTATTCAGACAATATTTTTTTCCATTTTCATTTTTGCTATAATACTATTCTACTTATTGTGACTGGACACTTTACTCCAAATCATTCTGACCTTTATTGAATGACTTTTCTAATTTACAAATAATACCATTTTGAAGTATATATATATATCGTAACAGATGCAAACGTTCACCATTTTTAACACGTGACATTGTCAAATTCATTAATACATGCCTTATTTTTGACATTCGTAAAACATCCCGATGATTATGGGCTTACAACTGTAGAGCCTGATGATGAAATTATTGAAAACAGTTGTTCGCTCAAATATTCTTCATTTAAGGATAGATTAGACTGATGAAGTTTCATTCATGAATTCATCTAGTTTTTACTCAAATCATTCATTTTGAGCTTATAAGATTTGTAAATTACTTATCATTAATGAATAACATGTCTAAATGATACATATACACATAAACATATAAACATAAATACCATATCATTATTTCAGTAATATATTAAGTAGTTATTTGCATTTTATCTTATTGTGTATACAATTCAATAGGCGATTTATATCTTGAATTGTAATTGAAGAACAAATGATTATGCATATTCATTCCTTGTTTATGTTTTACTTCCTTGTACTATTTGTATTTCATAAAAGAACAATCATTAGTGAATATAAATGAGTTAGTTTTCATTTTGTTGTCAATTGATTGTTGTTTTTTTTTATTATGACAACCTTTCTTCATACTAACAAACACATTTTATACTGAAAGTCGGTAGTTGTATTTAAACCCAATTCGTCGGTATTCTATCATTATTAATTTGTCTTATTATGTATTGGGATTTGGACGTATGTTCGATTCTTAACTATTATGACGCTTGAGCATGAGTTAGTCTTTAGAATTTTACTGAACAGTGAGATTAGAAGTAATTAAATGGCTTACAAAATTCAATCTTGACACATGTTTTTTTTCACAAATTAGTTTCAAATCTCATGATTTCAGTGGTGTATAAAACAGTTTTGTTCAAAATAGACTTTTTGGTTAGACGTCATAATGTATAAAGCCAGCCAAAACAGAAGAACTACAGTAATAAAGGTGACATTGTATGAGTACTTGGCTATATCACAGATTGATTTAAGTTAAAATGTTAAATGATCGGATCATGACTCAGTAGTCGACAGATGTCTCGTTCTCCACCAGACGTGTTACTTATTAGCTTAATGCTCTGTGGTCTTGACAGCACACTTTTTGAGAGTCCTCAAGTAGTCCATGTTGTGTGTTTAGTATCCCCTGGTTTTGTAGACAGTTCTCCGACTAACTTGAGTTCCTAGTAAAAGTTATTTTCAAATTACCTATAATCTCCATAGAACCATCTTTGTGAATAATACCGAAATCACAAAAACATATTTTCTCCTCAATATGTTCTGCACTTCACTCTTGTTCTTTAAGAATTATTACAGTGTCTTTCATAAAGTGAAAATGAAATCCCAGTTAGTTAACACTCCCAAATGTCCTATTTCCTCATATTTAATTAATTTGTGAAGATTGTCAATAACTTAAACTTGATGATCGGGATTTCCAGATATTTGTACACCTAGGGATACTGTGAAATTTCCAATGCTTAAAAATGTTAAATAAGTCAACAGGCTTTGTTAGTTAAACGATTGTGGTTGTGGGTATACTTCTGTTTATGGGTCACCTGTAAAATATTTTATATTAGTTATTAATTTAAGTTTCTTGGTAAATGTGATGAATCATATCGATCAGTGTCTGTTAGTTTACCAACTTTTCAGTCCCACTGAACGGTTTTACAAGAACTTTTAATCGTCCCAAGGTACGTTACCTCTATTCATATGTCTCCTAACTGCTTCCTGGGTATTTATGGAAAAGTTTTTGTCGTAAACTATGAAAAGCATAGCAGAATTCCAAATATACTGATGTAGTTACATTAGTAAGTTATTTTATGTCATAAATAAGATGGGGGATTCGAGTTGGACTATAGCTCAGTAAAATGATAACAGTGGTCTTCTCCTACATTTTCTTTTGGTTACTTAAATATGCTTCGTGACAGCGAACTTAAAATGTATAAGGAAAATTTGTCTAAGGAATCTCCTAAATTAACTCAAAAATTAGTATTTTATGTATATCTGACCAAAATTTTACAGCATATCATCAAGAGGAAAGTAACTAAACAGCATAAAATATTCCCGTATCTGGTTAAAAAGTGAAGAAATCTAGTTCTTACTCAAGGGGAATAATGGTAGTTTGTGATGCTATATTTTATATCGATCTTGCAACGGGTACAAAAATGACAGCTTGTAACGCCCAGCAAAAGTCCAGAGAATCTCTAAGTTAAATACTGATTAGATGGTAGATGTTTATTTCAGTTATATCAAGGAGTGTTGATCAGTGAAATCAGAAATTTTAATATAAACACTGACGTTAGTTCATAATCACTGGAGATTTAGGATCATTAGAGACAGTAATTTTAAAAGATAAGGGTTATTGATGTTCTAGAATTGTGGCAAGGACTTATTTATTAGTGAGGATGAACTATCACCTGAATTATGAAAACCATAAGACAATCTAAATTACTGGTTTTATTGTTTCATAAGATACATCCAAACTCCTCTTGTATTTTACATAATATAATTAGCATGATGTTCTGTAGAATTGGGGTTCAAACAATATATGTCTTCTCACCTAATGTTGAATTTCATTTTGATTTACTATTCGAAACATAATTATGTTTAATAATTGCCCCATCTTTGTGTCTAGTTATTTATTAAGATGTACCTATTTGTAAAGAAGCATATTTTTAGTGCGTCTTGGTTGCTAATCCCAATTCTTGATAAGACCTGCCTTCGGAAGACATCACTAAAAACCGAAAGTGAACAAAAACTATTAGCTAAGCTGAAGAATTCATCTGCAGTAGTCTTTGTAAAAAATTCAAAATTCGATTGACATTAACAACTTGAAAATGTTCATAAACTTCACTAAAGCAGCTAGGCTTTATGTTTCGGAGATTTCGTTTGCATTTTTGAACTACTCATTAGTAGCATAAACATGTTTAACAAAATAAACAATTTAATCCCAATGAGTTATTTCAATTATTTCATATGTATTATAACTACGGCTGTAAAAATTCTAATACAACTGTCAGTCTTAATCCCGAGTAAAGCAGGAGGGTTGTGCGTAGGGTTAGCATCTCCATCACCTAGAAAAAATCTTGCTAAGAAAACACCAACCAGAATAAACAAATTAAACCATTTAAACTCTACCCTCCAAGTTGGAGGAAGAATTGTGGCGCCTCATAATGAAAGTTGGGATGATTCGGAAGTCACGAGGATGATGCCCCTTCTAACAATTAGAGTAAAAATTAATTTAAGTACGCGGAACTTTTGGACAATTTGGCTGCTCTACTCTGGTCACGAAGAAGAAAATGCTCCACACATTCAGAGTGTTGCTCTGATGCTATCCAAAGATGCACGAAATGAACTCATAGAATGGGAATCTCACGTATCCAGGATCATCAAAGCATTCTTCAAAACGAAGAAGGATGGAATTAAAATGAATGTTATCCAATGTTATGCACACACCAATGATAGCACTGACGACGATAAATACCAGCTCTACGAGAGACAGCAATCGATCATAGTGAAGTATTCAGCAAGGGGTCTGACCATCTTGATGGGAGATCTAAACTTCGAAGTTGAAATGGACAACAATTGATATGAAGATATCATGTGATGATATGGATTGACTGGGAAAGGGTACGATAATAGTGAGAGATTTGCAAATGTATGTGTATTCAACAAAATGGTTATAGGTGGCACAATATTCCCACACAAACACATACACATGGCAACACGTGTCTCACCGGATCACACTACACAAAACCAGATAGATCATATTTGTGACAATAAAAAATGCCGAAGGACAGTGGAAGGTGTGATAACGAGGAGGTAGAGTAGCTGACATAGCTTCAGATCACCACCTCGTTGTGTTCAAGATGAAACTGAAGTCAAAGAAGCACTGGACAACTGGATAAACAGCAGTACAACTGTTCAGTACAGCCTTCCTATGAGATACTGACGAACTCAGCCAATTCAAGATAACTCTCAACAGCAGGTTCCAAGCCTTGCAGAATCTACTGGAAGAAGAAACCACTATGGAGGACAACTGGAAAAGGATCAGAGAAGCATTAACTTCAATGTGTCAGGAGTTGCTGGGCCGCAACAAGCATCATTATAAGGAATGGATATTTACGGAAACTCTGGACAAGATTCAAAAAAGGAAGAACAAGAAGACAGCAATGAACAACAGTGGAACAAGAACAGAGAAAATCGAGACACAGGCTGAATACACTGAAGCAAACAGGCAAGGGAAGGAAAGCATTGAAGCCGACAAGTAGAAATACATGGAAGAGCTAGCAATGAAAGTGGAAAAAGCTGTTGGAGAACGAAATATGAGACAAATTTATGAAACGATGAGGAAACTAGGAGAGAAATATCGTAAGCCAGAGAGATGGTCCAGGGACAAAGAGGGTAAACCACTCAGTGAGATTTAAGAACAGCAGAACAGGTAAGTAGAACATTTTGAAGAACTCTTGAATAGACTATCACAACTAGAACCACCAGACATCGAAGCAGCAACTACAAATCTCCCCATTGATGTCACTCCATCAACGATCGAGGAAATCAGGATGTACATTACGCAAATCAAGAGTGGGAAAACAGCAGGAACAGACAACATACGACCTGAGATAATGAAGTCAGATGTATAATTAACTGCAAACATGCTCCACATTCTATTCAGGTAGATTCGGGCGGAAGAACAAGTACCACTGACATACTGGAAATAAGATACCGAAAAGATCTGAACAAATGTGTGAACTATAGAGACATCACACTATTGTCAGTATCAGGAAACGTTTTCAACGGAGTGTTGCTGAACCGGTTGAAAGACTCAGTAAACACTCAACTTCAAGATCAACAGGCTGGACTCCGTAAGGATCGGACATGCATAAACCAAACAGCAACATTATGGATCATCGTTGAGCAACCGATTGAATGGAATTCTTCATTGTACATCAGCTTCATTGACCATGAGAAGGTATTTGACAGCATGGATAGGAGGACCTTATGGAAACCCCTTCGACACTATGGTATACCTTAGAAGATCGTCAGTATCATCCGGAATTCATGCGATGGACTACAGTGCGATTCGGTGCATAGTGGCCATTTCACAGATGCATCCCAAGTGGTGATCGGAGTCACACAAGGCTGTTGAATCTCATCCTTTCTCTTTCTTCTGGTGGTTGACTGGATTATGAAGACCTCAACATCTGATGGAAAGCACAGACTACAATAGACAGACTGGATGCAACTAGACGATTTGGACTTCACAGATGACTCAGCTATTCTATCCCACACATGACAATGAATGTACGTGAGTATAGCTGGTGTAGCAGCAGCATCTACAGCAGTATACCTCAACATACACCATAGAAAAAGCACGATCCTCGAATCCAACACGGAGAATACCAAACCAATCACACTTGATGGAGGAACTGTGGGAGAGGTTGAACTAATTGCTACATATTTTTACAACATTGTGTTTATATTGGAAAGTTGCTAAGATGTTTTAAACTAGTGGCAAAGTAATTTCTTTAGTTGAAGTATAATATTATAGTTAATAATAGAATGAAAATTTAAACTTAAATGGAAAAACGTTGTTATTTCTTTATCCAGAATGTATTATGTAATAAAATTTCCAACAGAATTAGACCATTATATATCCAGCTTATCTCCCTTGATGATTATACTATGACTATAAAATCATATATTAGGTCATGATGGAATTATCGATATATCTTAGCAATCAACATTAGATAATTTTAGCAATCAATTCTAGTTTGTTAGGTTTGGATCTCTTAAAAGATATCAGTTCCTTCAAAATTGAAAGTGAGCCTTGCTAACGGATGC